GTTTCGGTTTTTTGTTTTTTGGTTTTTTTTTTCCTCCCCCAGGTGCCTGTCGGGGCCTGGGTTTCAGCTGTCCACACCACAGCAGTGGGCAACGAACTTAAAGCCCCTGATGGCTCTGGGCGCTGACTCTCACCAGTGGCTATGGATGAAGTCACAGGCGATTTTCAGCCAGCGCCGGTGTTCATATTTTTTTAATCTTTTATTCTCCCCCTTAGGTCTGGACGAGGCAAACATGGCGGCCACCAGCTTCCTCTCCACCGAGGCCCAGATGTTCTTTTCTTGAAATTTTTTAAAATTATTATTGTTTTGTGTGTACCATCAAATCAGATCTGACTGGTACAGGAGGGGATTGCCCCTCCTTCTCCGGCAGAGCATCTGGTGGATTCGAACCATGTACCTCTGCGATTGCAGTGCAGCTTCTTGCCACTAGGGCACCAGAGCTCCCCTGGACAGATGTTCTTAAAAGCTGCACAGGTTAGTACCACAACAAGATAAATAAAGGTGGATAACCCAATTAAAAAATGGGCACAGCATATGAACAGACACTTTAGCAAAGAAGACATTCAGATGGCCAACAAGCACATGAAGAAATGTTCAAAATCCCTAGCTCTAAGAGAGATACAAATCAAAACAACTATGAGATATCATCTCACCCCAGTTAAGAATAGCAACATTTAAGAGAACAGCAAACATCAAATGCTGGTGAGGTTGCGGAAAAACTGGAACTCTTATTCCCTGTTGGTGGGAGTGTAAAATGGTACAACCACTATGGAAGGCTGTATGGTACTTTCTCAATAAGTTGCAAAAAGAAATACCATTTGATTCAGCAATTCCACTACTGGGAATATACCCTAAAGAAACCATAACCGCCATCCAAGCAGATATATGCACACCCACGGTTATTGCTGCTTTGTTCACAATAGCAAAGAGTTGGAAATAACCCAAGTGTCCATCAATGAATAAATGGATAAAGAAGCTCTGGTATATTCACACAATAGAATACTACGCTGCACTGAAAAACAAGGAATTCATGACATATTATACAAAATGGGTGACCCTGGTGGACACTATGCTGAGCGAAATATCTAAGTCACAAAAGGACAAATATTGCATAGGGACACTGTTGTAAAACAGGACTGACATTGGGGCTGAGGGAAGACTGAGAAAGAGGGGATAAATAATGCATGCTGCACTGAAACAGATGAGGGAAAGATCTGTTTAAAAGGGATAGGGATATATGATTAGGTATTATTGTCATGACAGGAGTCCAGAATGAAGTCTGCACAGTGGAGTGAACTTGGGGGAGACGGATTGTATAACAGTGAAATAATTTTTCTTCTATTCTTCAAAGAGAAGAGCGAATTGGGGGGAGGGGGTGGGCAGGGAGAAAAGTGCAACAATGAATGAATGCACACCCTAAGTCTCTGTAAACTTTCATTAAAATTTTAATTAAGAAAAAAAAAGCTGCACAGCTTAAAAGGGGGGAAAAAAGAACCCCACCAAAACACAAAGCTGCCCAGCCAGAAGCTGAGGGCACCTCCGCCTGGCCAGCTCAGGAGGCACAAGGCCAGTTGGCCAGGACTGGGACAGCTGCTGGCTCTGGTAACCTGTGTGGCCTTCTGTCTCAAAGGCAAATGACCAGGGCTTCTGAAACACTACCTTCAATTAAGCAATATTTTCCTGATGGCTTTCCAAGTTTCTGGATGAACAACTCAAATTATCTCCTAGGGGTGCAAGAACATAGTCTTGAAGGTCAATGTAACTGGCCAGACTATGCAAACCTGAAACAGTTGCTGCAGAGGGTCAAGGACTGCAGCCTCCAATATGGATTGAGGCTCAATGTCAAGAAGACAAAGATTCTCACCACTGGCCCAATTGGCAGCATCAGGATGGATGGTGAAGAGACTGAGATTGTACACAACTTTAGTTTGCTTGGCTCCAGAGTCAACAGTCTTGGCACCAGCAGCC